AGTGCGCTCGAAAGCCGCCGCTCTGACACCTCGCAATTACTTTTCGAGTCACGCCACGATAGCGACAAAAAATGATTTTAATATATCATTATGGCGTGTAACTAAAACATACCTGGTATTCTTCACGTGAACAACTACAAATTGCGAATTAACATATTACGGACCGCTAAGAAATCTGTAAGACATACGCCTGGGACCGCACGTTTTTCGGCAAACTGCACGTTACTAAAATCGTCATAACATTTTTATTGATGAAGCAATGTGTGTCAAATTTTCAGAAATTGTAAATTGGGCCCCATTTTAAGTATTATTGAAAAAAAAATTATGTTTCTTAATCATTATCATAACTTTTTTTACTTGAAAATACATTTTTACGAATTTTTTAAAAATTGTAAAATAGGATGCATTTCAGGTATTATTAAAAAAATTGTTTTTTAATAATTATCATAACATTTTTATTTAAAAATCAATTTTAAACCAAAGTTCCTAATACTTTTCTGACACATTGTTGACCGGCAATTTTACTTAGAATTTATCTCATGTCATCGGCTATTATTTCGTAATTGGATGTGGAAGTGAAACAATATAAATAAACTTCAATAAATTTTATTTAATATTTAACTTTTAATATTTCTTTTTGGTATGATAAACGGTGTAGCAATCACCTACGTGTAATGGTACACAACAGGTTTTGCAAATGTATTTTGTTTCAATCGCGCAAATGTATCTTGCATCGATCACGAGTTTACTCGTGGCCGGTCAGCAACGTTTGAGCAGGAAGACACGAGTTAACTCGTGACCGGTCAACAATGTGTTAACAACGTTTATTTGACCGATTGTACTCGGAAAATCAGCCGGTTGTCAAATAATCCCTCCGACCTCATCAGACGCGAAGAAGCCTCGCTTTCCAACGCGCCTGGTTTCGTGTTGTTGTGACACTCCCAAGTGAAGATACCAATTACGTCAGATCGCGTTGATCGCGATCCCGCATGGCGCGACGCCGAGCAGCGGCGGATCAGCTGATCGTCGTCACGTGCTATGCGCGTACCCGACCTAGCCTTACTACGCGCGCGTGCCCTGACCTACCGCTAGGCGCTTGTTAATGGACGCGTCGTGGAGTGTTCGAAACGACAAAGCACAGCGAAAAATCGACGTAGAGACGTAACATCAAAGCGTAAGATCAGGATATCCTTCGTTATCGTATTCGTTTGTACTGTATCGCAAATATTTTCGTCGTATGACACGCGAAATGTGCATAAATACGTGTTTGCAGTACCGCTCTTTCTTTTTTAATTAAAGACTCGATCGTGAACAAGAGACGGCAAGCTTCTCGTGACTCGTTCGCTCGTTGCGAGGAAATCCGTCGCCGATAAGACACAAGGAAACCGTTTGCGTTGAATCCTTTACTCGCGTTTCAATAAACCCTCTCGAGAATTCTAACTTGGTACGCTAATATTATTGCTCCCGTCAATGGAGGCTTAAGGAGTCGAGATTACGAAACATCGTCACGACTTTCGGGAATCCGTAATGTCGGTGCGGAGCTGCACAGTTCTGGTTTCACGTTTAATATTATAAGCCGGGATTACGTACTTAGACTTCGTCGGCAAACGCGCTTTCCACGCGCGTTGTATACGGTTAACGAGACGGGGGAGAAGGGGGGCAAGAAGGGAGTAAGATTTTGCCGTAAGTTACTGCGAAAAAGGCTCTCCTCTTCGTGCGACTTACGAGCTATTGCACGAGAGCGTGTTCGCAAAAGGAGATCATGAGCGGGGAAAAGCGACTGCAAGTGTCGAGTTTTGTGAACGAGCAGACGTCTGAAAAGCTCTCTCTCTCTCTTTTCCTTCGTCGTCAAGTAGACAACACGGGGAAAATTACTTCGCCCGTTATGTTGTCGGAAAAGTAATTAACGTATTCGTCGCAAAACAGTCGAGCATGACTCGCTTGCGCGCGCGCGCGCATCCCCCCGTCCCCGGTATCGTTGGGAAGTTTGCTAATTTCGCGCACTTCGTAGTGCGTAATCAAACGGAAGCGTTATCGACCGCGGCGTACTATCACGCGTTTCCGTATTATACCCCCAAAGGCAACGTGCAAAACGCGCTAAATAATTCATCGCAGAAGCTGCGATCGTCATTTCAGGAGACAGCGGGATCCCCAGGGCCGAGACAGCGGGGGCCCTTCTATCTAACGACTCGATAACATCGCGGGCGAATGTTCCGCGCGAACGAGCCGGAACAAGAATTTAGCGCCGGAGGCTGTCGGAGATGTAGGACCACCGAACTATAGAATATTGCGGGGCCGGAATTACGCCGGCAACGAGATTTCAATGCGAGCGGCTAAATGAAATACCTAAGTTAATTACCGTACCGCTAATCGAGTTCTTCTTTGTACTACTAATTATAATCTAGCATGAGGTATAATATAGGAAGGAATAAAATTTACCGCCTTTTGTCGGATGATATTGCTACATTGTTACGTCGTTCTTACGATACGCGAAGCATTCATTTTTTTTTTTTTCAAAAATATGGCCCGAGTAGAATGTTTTTCAATCATAATGTGAGACTCGCCTGTATCTTGATTCTCGCAAAACTTGCGGAGCTCGATTTATTTTTTGGTATTTTTTTGTATTCATTCGTGTAATTCCCAATAAATATGTTATGATTTCATTTGATAACAATTTCCTGTGCATGTGTGTGTGACTGGAGGTTGCAAATTTTACAATAAATAAAATGTCCAACCAATTTCGTTGTGAATATTAAGGAGAAAATACAATCAATTTCGTAAATCAAACATATAACAAATGGATATGTAAAAATATATGCAAGATATTCTAATAATATTATTTCAATAAACATGTATAATTTTGTACAATTTACGATAAAATGCGCAATGAGTGCATCTCAATGCAAATCGCTGCAAATTACAAAGGATCTCGCCTTTTATCCTTTAATTCCAGATCCATTAATCGTCGAGAGCTTAATAGAGCGCGATTATTGTATCGCGAGAACGCCGGATAATCGCGTATAAATAAGCAATTAATCATGCAGGGACTAATGAATAAATTTACTCACCGGACTATACTCAGTGGTGTCGCTTCGCTAGCATCGGCCCGTCGTCGGCTTTCGGCCGGAACTGTACCGCTTCAACTTCCATCGAGAGCTCACCACTCACGTGAATACGAACATCGGGAAACGCCACGAATTTCGATCGTGCATGACGATTAACATGTTACCACGATCGCACGGCAGATTCCGCGGAACTTGCGACGCATTTTTATGTGCGGAATGCACTTTTGACGGGAAAAAAAATGCAAATAACACGGAGCAACTTTACTGCGACTTCTATCCGATCCGACCGGCGCGAAACTAACTGACGATGACGGATACGCGCATGCTATTGGTCAATTTGAGTTTGAGCTGTATTCAGGCCTAAACTCGGTAAGATCAGGCGATATAATATAACCTCAACATCGTAAATATGCATGAAGGAAATATCATCAAATTTATGAATAACATGACGTGAAATGCGAAATATCAGAGAGACATGTCAGAAATATAGAATTTCATGTTAAAATCTCCGTTAATTACCTGAATACCCCCTTAATTAACTCCCTTAATTAACATTCTTCGCACAAAATTCTTGTCTTTCGTGCGATCATAAGGACGATCTAAATATACACCTTTTCGTTACGATAAATCTGCTTCATGATTACGTTTTATCGTAAGTATGATGCAGATAGTGACACAACAGTATGATGCAGAAAGGACGAAAATAGAACGGTAATGACCGTGGGAAAAATAAGCTACCAAATAAAAGAGGAAAGGAGAAAGAAAGAAAGAAAGAAAGAAAGAGAGAGAGAGAGAGAGAGACGCAACAGGAATGCGAAAGAAAGAAGGAGACGCTCGACCGGGATAGGTGAAAGAGAATCGTCGGTGCATTTGAGAGTTAAATGGACCGTAGATAAAATAAACAGGGACGGGAAAGAAATTTCCAGTCGTCGCACTCGCGCGTCGTAAGAAGTCGCGCGCTACCACGGAGAAAGGGAATTTCGAATAATACTTTTTGTCCCATCTCACGCCACCCACACCCTTCACCCCCTCTCTCTCCCTCCCTCCCTCCGTCTTTCTATTTCTCCACCCTCGCTCTATTCTGCGTCGCGAGTGAATACTTCCGAAGAATTTTCCGCGACGCGGTCTCGCTAGTACCCCGAAGGAAATCTCTTAACGCGATCAAAGTTTTCCTCGAGAAAATCCTTCGAGAAGTCTCATCCGGAGTTCAAAGGTAAACCTTTTATCTGAGACCTCCAATATGGAAGCCTCTCTCTCTCGCCTCCGCTACGACATTTCATTCGGTCTCTTCTCTCCTCGGCTCCTTTCGTCGTGCCGAGGCACTCGTAAAGGAACTACGCTTCTTTCGCGTCTGTATCGTCATTGTCTCCGCGCGACGCCCGTGAATTCGAACGAGCCGAACGACGTACTTACGAAGCCAATCATATCACATTTTAAGTATTATGCTAAGCAGATTTTGAGGTCGAGAGGGCGACCGACACACTCGGGGGATGAAAACTGAGGATTTAAACCGATTCAGATCTCGACGGAGATATACGAAAATAATATCCCCGTGCTCGTTCCGGACGATAAGAGTAGTTTCAGACACGTCGTTTTGAATCCCCGCGAGAGGCTTAGAAGGGACAACCGCGCGAATTGAGCGATTTTTTCTTTCTGACCTAAAAAATAGAGAAGTCAAACTGAAAGCGCGAGGGGCGTGCAACCCTCGATATAATCAGCAAATCGGGTCGTATAAGCGGCGATAAAGCTGACTGCTTCAAAATAATAAGATAGAAGAAAACGGTAAAAAAATGAAGAATAATGCTGGGAGGGGCGACTGCTTGGATAAGTGGAGTGGTGAAGGGACTATCGATTGAATGAAGATTGATATTCTCGCCCGTTCTCTTCTTCCCTTCTTCCCTTGTACCTCGAAACACAACGAAGCCGGCTGCGTACAAAACTCGTGTATATTTCCAATACCTGTAGAGATACAAAAGCGCGCGTATCGCGCAAGGCTCAGGGTGCTACGGGTGTGTGCGACAGCAGTTTCAATGCTGCGAATTTAAGTCGTGGAAACACACCGCCTTCCAGCTTATTTTGACGTAAGGCTACATGGATCTTCGACCATACTTCTTCGATCACACTTTCCTATTTATCCTAATTAGATTAACACTTTACGAACCGACCACGTTTCTGCATTTCATGTTGTAGACGAGGAATTCTGGGAAAGCACTTCCAACCGGAAATTTAACGATCCGTTTCCCGAAGAGCCACACGCGTTCTCGTACACCGCTCAGTTCGTAAAATGTCAACATCATTGCCATATCAAACTAACGTATGCCTGTGAACGAGACTATGTTATATGGAATTATATGGATATACATAATATATAAGTATCGGAGGAAACAACAAACGAAGGAATGAAAAATTGTATGTAAGAACTAACGAACCAATCTCGTATATTCACTCGAAAGTGAAAGTCTACTATTGAAGATATACAAGGTGCTTGTTAATTAACGTTCACTATTTACATAGCGTTATTCCTCATAAAAATTTCAGTCGAAAAGTTCCGAACGAAAATGTCGAAACGTCAGTAGTTTTACGAAATACAAGCGATTGGAAGAACAAGGCTTTTCGCAAACTATGTTTCGGACGACCGAGTAGATTTTCTTTAATTTCCAGCGGATTTTACTTTAACGGAATTTTAATTTAGGGTCTAGCTAAAAAGACAAGTTGAAAGTTAGAAAGTCGCCATAAATAATGACTTCTTTCGACAAAATTACTTTCTCGATTCAATTTTTCATGAACAATTACGTCATTTAAATAGTGGGCGTTAATTGACAAATATCCTGCATAAAATGTACCTACACTTATATAGCTGTAAATTCTACTATAATACTAATTATATATTATTACATTACACAGTGCATTTATAATAAATAAACCTGTAAATCGAGGAAAAATTCATGAAGATTTCTACGACAAGACATACTGCGTGATATATACATACATTATCAATCGTTAAAAAAATACTAATTCTGAATTCTTATGAATACCGTCTTCAAATTCGCTTAATATGACGGCCACAGCTTGTCGTAATATCTAAGTACTGTCAAGTATAAAAACTTCAGTCATATAAATAAATTACATTAAATCCTTGTTTGCGGAACTACAGTATCTATGAGATTTATAATAAATATAATACATTTTTAATATTATCCTATTTTATAACAGAAAAAAATTAATTTTTAAACGTAAATCATAACAAATATAATAATCTCTCGACTGTCATCACATGTAAATCTACACGTAGTTCGGAGTAAACGCAATCATTTTCACAAGGCAAGGATTCAATGTGTGAGCGTTTCTCGTAATACGACCGTAAGTAGAATTATCTATATGCTAAATGACAATCTCATACGTGATTAATAATCGAGACTCTTTGGTAAGCTTCTATGGCAGCTCGTTTCTCTACCAACGCGGGGACGTTGCCGGCACAGCTTGCTGGTTAAGTAAGGAAGGTCCGCTACACGTGGCAGAGTAAGAGAGACTTCTTTAACACTGGAAACTTAAAGAAAATAAAACACTCGTTTCTCCAATCGAGATATCTTACCTCCAAGCGATAAGAGGCGCCAATCGTTCGGTCAATCTTTGGTAATTTCTCTCCAACTCTCGCTGATAGTCCCGCTGATCGGGACCGATTAGATTCTTGTTACGTCGCAGAGCGTCGAGACATTTCTTCTGGAAATCCTTGAAGCACAAGCGAAGCTTGTGCTGCAGTCTGTCCGGCTGTACGTTCTGTTCACGCAAACCCGATAGAAACACGACCGCCACCTCGGCGGGTCCTTGATTAACAGTCGTGCCGATGCATCCTTGAAGAACCATCTGCAGCATCTTTGCGTCGGGTGGCTCCTGAGCGGTCGCGGCAGCCACCTAATTAAGACACACAGGCAAACGTATTGCGTTGTGCCTATAATGAACTTTGAAAACGATTTATAAAAATTATTCAGAAGGAATACCTCGGCGGTCTTTTTCTGTATGTCCTCGATCGCCACTTCGATGGGAGTGAGAACTATCTGCTTCCGGGCAACAACTCGAATCCTGGTCTTCAGATACGGGAAATGTGTCGCCACCGTCAATATCGTCTTCCGTTTGAACTGTTCGCGCAGCTCGCCGTGAGCCTTGCCACCGGGCGTGAAAGGCGTCGCGTAAACGAATCGTTCTGAAAGCAACATCGTGACAACGAGCGAGAGTTTACAAAATCGCGCTTATATATCGAAAAGCACTTACTTATGTTGAAGTTGCGATGGAAAACGGTGGGTCTGTGCCGGAACTCGTGCGGTTCGAAGTACGGTTCCACGTAAGTGATCTGAACGTACGCCTTGTCCGGCTCCAATTTGCTGGGGTCCACGGGATTCGAGTCTTTTATTATGACTATATTCTCCGCGCCGAATCTCTCGGCGTAAAAGTTCTCAAGTCTCGAAAATATCTCCGGGAGTTTCGTCAGAGTCGGCTCTTTGTACACGAATTCTTCGCCAGCGAGATCACCGAATCTCGCACCGTAGAAGCCGACCCTGAAGTACGTCCCGAAGACACGTTTGCCGGCCAACTGTTCCACGCGTGTGTACGCCTCGTGAAGTTTTCTGAAAATCCACAGTGTGGTATTTTATGTCAACCTATGGTGAAACCGTCTCTCGTCATCGTCTGAGCGACGTTTGCATTTCTTTACCCATGAATGTTAGCCAATTTCTTATAGTCGTGCGCGGCTTCAGCTATCGGCAACAACACTCTGTAGACATCAGGAATGGCTTCGTACATGCCGGCTGCGTGAAAAGAGCTAGCCGCGTGCTCCAACAGTCCCGCCAAGCCGCTCTCCGAAAAATCGGGACCTAAACAAAGTCCTTCTTCTCTTCTGGCCAACACATCGTCGCCTACAGCGCTCTCCTCTAGGGCGTTCGGCGTCACAGCGTTCAAAGCGACGGCTCCTACCGGCCGCCCACCACCACCGGGCTCCAGCAAATGCAGATATTCCGCAACTAAAGCAGCACTGTGCACCAAACACATCGCTGCTTCCGTGTGATTTTTCCGCTCCATGTGCTGCTGCGCCATGTTTGCAAGCCAAGTCAATCGCAAATCCGGCGAACCTTGGTAGCCTTTGGCGATTCTGTAAACAAAATTTCATATTTCATAAATCTATATATATTTGAGGTAAATTTAATATTTCTCTATTTAATAAATGATTTATAGCGTACATAAGATGTCTGTCACTAAGTGGAACATCATAAACTTGTATAGATTAGACTATTCTGAGTAAAAAAAAAGTCTTTTACCATTTTACAAATAACCACGCAAACTTTTGAATCATTAATTAAAGAACCCTTTATATAGCCATTTTCAATAATCAATGATTCAAAATTTGGTATGATTTGGAACTTTTATGTTCACATCGACCTAATCTACAAGTATATAACGGACGCCTCATTTAGCGACATACACACACCTGTATATTTTTAAGTAGAAGTAAAATTGTTATTGCAATCTTACCTGTACATTAAATCCAACAACATCTCGGGATCTTCTTGGAACTCCTTCATCTTGACGGTATCAGAGAGGATCATATGAAGATTAAACAGCAGATCCTTCACTTGCTCTGGGAAGCTCGTGTCTGCAAGCTCCGTGTCTCTCTCGGCGTACACCAATACCGTTTTCAGCGCTCTGCGCAGCGCTCCCTCGCTAGGAGCTCTGCCTCTGCCGACGAGCGCGGACAAGGACGTCGTAACTTGCATCTTGACGCGTGCGAAGTTCTGCAAAAGAGAAACATCAAATTAAAGCAACTCGTCGCCCGCGATAATCACGCCGAGAACTTACATTTCCAATTTCGAAGTTCTGTCGCATCAGTAAGTACAAACTCGCAGCTGCGTGACTCCTGACGGCGCTCAATGGCGAGCTACATCGAGTGAGCAGCGTCAAGCATAAATCCCCGCAGCGTTCGCTTTCCTCATCGAACAAGGCGCTGTGATATTTGAAAACCAGAGCTCGCTGTGTATTGAACATGTGCTGCAGTACCGACGTGCTTTGGTTTCTAGCCAGCGCCCTCAGTAATACTTTCAACACCGCTCCGACAACCGCACCTAAATGGTCGCAAACGTGTCGCAGCTTATCCGATTTATCGCGTCTAAGCGTGAAATGAAGAATTCATAGATACCTCCACCGCCATCGGCCTGAACCACAGATTCTAAAGTATCCAGCACGACGAGAGAAGCCTCAGCCGCTAAAGCTCCTTCTATATGAGCGTCTTGCTCGACGGCTCTTCCCTCCGGCTGCTCGCAGGACCTTGAAGTATCGAATTAAATTGAATTACAGTTTTAATCATGTTAATTAATCGATTGTATCTTAAAATAAATAAATGAAGAGTTGAGTAAACAAGCCTATAAGAGTTGAGCCGTTGGAAATAAGTGCGCAAGGATAAAGAAACGTCCAACTTGTAGAATTGACAAAATTGCATTTACAGATGTTTCGTATGAATAAATTTATATGTACACTTTGATTAAAAAGCGGAACGAACTCAATAGCACAATAAAACATTAACAATTTCATTATAAAATATTTTTCTGCAGTTATTAATTTTAATAGCAAACTTACCTGTACGGCATTTGGTCCTTGCGCCATCTTAGCTTGTCGCCGGTCACTCTCTCCTTCCTCCGCAGCATCATCTCGCTTCTGGCACTTCCCTGACCGAGGATCACGTCTTCCAATCGCGATCGGATATCGCTGGTAGCGGCGGCTTGAGGCGGCAGCCTCTTCAGCGCTTTTTTGCCCTTATATTCAAAGGCTGCGGTGGCGATATTCAGCACTTGAAGCAAACTTAGGATGCGTCTTGCGCTCAATTCAGAGCACCACTGAGCCAACGCGGTTCGCTCCAGGCCCTTAAGTACCCACAAGACGCACATTAAGAGGTGTCGAGTGGCTTCGGAGCTCAAGGACACTCGACATTGATTGCCCGCGGTGTCCGCCGACGCTCCGCCGGCGATAGCCAAGGCTACAGACTGCGTGATCGACCCGGACTCGTCCGGGTAGACGCTCTTGTCCTTAGAGTCCCAGTGATAAAGCTGCGGCAAGGCATCCATCAGGATACTCAGCAACGGTAGATACAGCGCGGCGACTCTGGCCTTCGCCGCTGGGTCCGAGTATCGTGGATCGGCGTCGTGGCAGCTCATCAGATGCCGCACGGTGCCGATCGCCTTGTTCTGCAGCATCGGGTTTGGCACCTCCAAGGTGTTCGCCAAGTCGGACAGAACGATGCCGACTAAAAAGTGCTGCTGCCTGAATTCCTGACTGAGTTCCGAGAATCTCGCTCTGTCTCCGGGCACCAGGGTGGAAATCAGACTGCCGGAACTGCCGGTCGACGGGCTGGGCGACGCCGGGGCTGATCCCGACGTGTAGCCCGTGCCGAACGGCAGGTTCAGCGCTACGTAGTGCTCGTGCGAGCACACCGTCCTCACGAGATCGAGTTTCAGGGCGAACAACGCCGCCGAGTCGGGAATGTGCATCGACGCGTCCGACAGCGAGCAGCAGGCGACGCGTATGAGCGACAATACGAATCCCCTGTCCATGACGGACAGCAGGTCCGACAGGAAATTGCCGAGGCTCGATATCAGGTTGGACGCGACGCGAGTCTCCTTGCCGCAGCGTGTCGTCACCTCGGTGGTCAGCGCGGCGGTGAGAGTCGTGATGTCGTCGCAGAACTGCGGCGAGAAGCGCAGTTTCCGCGGCGCCTCCAAGCTGTTCAGCTCCGACAGCGTGACGACCATCGAGCGCATTATCAGCTCCAGGAAGAACCAGGAGTGCGTTATCGCCAGTTCACGCGCCTGGCCTGTGGACACGACCCAGTGTAGCGCGAGCTCCTCGTGCAGGAGCCTCCTGGTGGGCTGGCTGTTGATCGAAGGGGACTCCTGCCGCATCGACGCGGTTCTGTCCAGCCCTCTCGAGTGGATCTCCATTTCCAAGTCTTCCAGAGGCAAATCCGGGTTGCTCTGCGCCCGCACCACGCCCGCGCCGTGAGACATGCTCGGCAAGGAGCACTGGTACGCGATGTAAGTAGCCAAGAGCGCGTGTCTCCCGTGCGCGTCCAACTGGCCGTCGGGCAAGTTGGTGATGTTTCGCACGAGCAAACCCAACGCCTCGAAAATCGTAGCGGCGACATTCAGCGACTGAGACGGCAACGTCGGCGGCCGCACCAGAAGAGACAACAGTTGATCCAGTAACTGGGGCAGAGATCGCACCAGGGCGGAGTGCGAGGCGCGCGCTAATTCGAGCAGCGCCGATTTCAGCTCGGATTCCATGCCGGCTTCGCCGATGCGAGGCGGCACTTGACCGGTCTCCAGGAAACCACACAGTGATAGAAATCTGTGATGCGAAAATTGTACCGGCTCTTGCGTTATTTTGCAATGAACGTTCCCCGTAAGCAAGAAACATTAAATCAGTCTTTTGAAACGTTAATTGTATAAACATTTTATAAACATCTTGACATCATATTTTATAAATGTTTTTAAATTGTTATTTCATAATATAATATTCGTAAATATTAAAATCATAATGTAGAAATATTGCTTTGATATTTGAGTCAAACATTGTTAATGTGACGTAATAACTGATAAGAAATGAGATTTAAAAAAAAATGCCCGAGCAACCAGAAAATTCATAATTGCGCTACTTGAGATGGATTGATTCTGTACAAAAAGTAACGAACTTTCGCATCTTACCTGTCGATATACTTGTCTTGCGGATGAACGCTGGAAACAGGTTCCAAAATGACGGTGAAAACTCCTCGGTGAGCATCCACCCATCGAGTACCTGGCAGGAGGACATCGGGTGCGATGTAGGAATAGTTGGCCGGTGGCGGGTCCAACATAGCGGGCAAGCTGAATTCGCCCGATTGGAGATGTCCGTCTCTCAGAAGCGGCAGCCACTGCAAAGGATTCCAATAGTGTATCTTTAACGATTAAATTTTCTGATTTTACCTCTATCACTTTTCTAAATTCTCCATTGAAACTTACCGTGTACGCGACTGCTGTCTCAACATTCGGTTGTTCGGCTTTCTTCTGGCAGCTGATGTGATAGAAGGTGAACAGTAGGTGATGTTTAGCGCTTAGATCCGCGGGAAGTCTCATCTTCACTTCGTCGTAGAAGTTCGGATTCTTGTTGTGATAAGACACAGATGTAAAGTATTCGTGCGTCATTTCAGGACACGACGATCTGCCGAAGATAGCGGTGAGCGCGTCCGCTTCCTGTTCACCGCCCATAAGCTGAATTCTCACGGCGATGTTACGCGCTGAGCCAGTTCTGGAGCTGAAATTCGCTTCCTAAAAATGAGAGATGATAATAAGGATGGTAAGGACACGTTAACGAACGAGAATGGATATTCGATCGTTTATTTCACGGGGCCACGTACCTTGGGATAAAGATACAAGAGATTGCGGTACGTCAAGTCTGGCGAAACAACCTCGCTCGGGAATTCGAGTATCTCCTTGACCGGTCGACTTTTCTCGTCCGGATACGGCACTAATCTCCTGAGATCGGGATCCAGACACCTGGGCAGCTCTTCGGGTCTAGGACTGAGATCCAGCTTCAATATTCCCGGCAAGCACTTTAATCGTTTGAGATTCGAGCCAGGTCTTCGCAGTTCAACCAAGAGCTTGTAGAGATCTTCGTCGCGAAGTCGCTCACTTTCCTGCTTGAAGAAGCTCGAGACGGTCAAAGTGATGGGTCTGCAAGAGCATTGAGATAATATCTAATCTGTTTGATATATCTTTTCAAATAAATCATATACGAACCTGAAACTGTCGAGACAGTTGGCGAAATCGTCCGGGGACCAACTGCGTCTCTTGTCCGAACTTCGTCGTTCCAAGGAGCCTCGTCGCGTCGGCGGTTCCACTTTCTTCCGCCATTGTTCCAGACCGCCCGACTTCCTGTCCAAGGATCCGGCACTGCCGGTGCTGTCCGCGTCGCCGCCGCCCCCTATCACGCCGGACAGGTGAATCGCGGTCCATGCGAGAGGCATCCTATAACGACCTAAGCGTTCGCACGCAGCGGCAGCGGCGGCTCTCACCTGCGGAATGGACGGATGGGGCGATCGTTATAAAAAAATCATCGAAAAATGCCGTATAATGCTGATGATGTTACCTTGTCTTTGTTTTTATCCTCACGCACATATGGCTCGGCGCATTCCGAAATATCGCCCTGCAATACTTTCTCCAGCCGCACGACGAGGAACAAGTCGGGGCTGGGTTTACTGATGCTCAGAACGCAGCTTCTGGCTAAGGTGCTGGCATCGCTGTAAGCAATGTGTCCTCCGAGCATTCTCTTCAAGCCCTCGGAGTTCATGTCGACGTAGAAATTTTCCGACACCTGAGATACAATTTGCATTTGTGGTACTACGCACTTTCAAAGCTGCAATTATTAATTAAGTATGGCGGATGGTATATACTTTTTTCTTTTCTTTGGCGTCGTACAACGCGAGGCTCGCGAATATCGGCTCCACTTCCAGTTCTAACTTCAGTTGCAGACATTTCACGAGAACTTTGTGAGCAAACGGTTCCGTAGGCTCGGGGGCAACTCCGATCTCTTGCCATTCGTCGTCCGGAGATGTCGGTGGAGCGTAAAGCGGGAATAAAGCTTCCTGAAAACAGAGTTCATTTGATGAAAAATCAAGTTTACAAGTTCGCGATCTTCTACCTGTCGATCCTCCAGTCTCTTTTGCTCGTTCATCTGATCGATGGTCTCCAGGCAGACACGATCCAATAAACTCGGCAGAAGCGGATCGTGTTGCGAATGTCGCAAATCAAGACTCGCCCAGGATCCTCTCGGAGTGTCTCCGCAGTTGGACAGATCATCTTCTTCGTTTGGTGACCCACAGCCATTTGTATCTTCTTGATCTACCTGATTGAGTAAATTTCCCTTTATTTGCTTAAACTGTTCCTCACAAAAGAGAAATTTCTTCTGCAGCTTTAAATACCTCGAAATCTTGTCTAGGTGTGTCCTGGAGCAATCTGTCTCTGGCTATTGGTGAGATTCTTCCCTTGTATCTGCGATTTATTACAACCCAATCTGACGTAAAGCTCTCGATGCATCTTTTCACATAAGGAGACACGATGTCTCTGAAAAGCAGATAATTAAGTGAAAAATATATATTTGATTTTGAATAAACAATTGCAGCAAATCAATCGTGTTTCTTACAATGACTCATGTGGAACTATCGGCTCTTCTGTTCGAATCTTCCGTTTTATGACTCTCATTTCAACATCCCCTGGCGGAAAATCCAGTACTGGCTTCAAGGGATCACGATCCAGCACTGATTGATGCTGTGCTAAGAACTCTTCATAATCAAGTGGCTCTAATACTTCACACAAAGACATCTGCAAAAGCACCGAGTATTACTTATCTCAAGATTCTCTACCTTCAATTCTCCCTTTGAAGAATCTACATACTGTGGAAGAAAATCCTGATATACTGCTACCACTTTTGGATAAATCACGAGAATAAGAAGTAGAAGTGGCAATCTGCCGCCTCACATCAGCGGCATGTTGCTTACTTAATTTGTGAGCAAATGCACGTTGGACCGAAGACATTATAAATGTCCCGGTAAAATATTCTGTGGATGAAATTCTGCAACAGAATACATATAGCCGTCTTGTTAAATAATTTAAATTTAAAAATCATCTGTCAGATATTAATACAAATGTTTCCAACAAGTGCTTTTACTTTTACAAGTACTTGTCAAAATTTACTAAAATTTTACATTTGTTTTCACAGTCATTATGGAAATTAAACGTTGTTTTTTTATATAGAAAAGTTTTAAAATAAACGCAATATTTTCAATTCTTCAACACTTTTAAGCATATAAATTTTTGCCTATCAATGATTTAATTTAGAAATAATTGTATGTTTGTTTAATGTGTGTAATAAGTTATTATAATAATATTAAAAATAGAAACAAAGATAATTAGAAAGTAATGATTAACATTCATAGGATGTGAGAGTCGATTCGAAATGGAGCAGAAAACATAACCGTACTAAATAAAAGTGAATTGAGAAATACGTATTGCGATGAGGATTTGTACTTACGTTAACACGAATTCATCGAAGCAAGGAGAAATAAAAACGATCAAGTTTCACCAGCGAGAACCCTAGATTTCTTTAAAATTATTGTCGAACCTTGACGCGTTTGACGCGATCTTTGACGTTTCCAAGTAGAGATGGACGATGATCGACCGATGAAACGATGCCCTATTCTTCTTCTCTTAAAGGATGAATTATCATCTCAATGATTTCAAATTTGACTAGTTTCTATATCGACAGCTTATAATTCCATCCATTCCAGAATTTTTATCTCCCACCCACTGTTTAATTATATGACTGCAAAATAAAAAGTTTTCCCGACCAATCATGGAGCCGAGTTGCGATCTCGATTTGTCTCCGCTACGTGCCGCCACCCGTTTCTTTCTCATGAAGAATCGAGGTTGTGATATAACTCATCAATAAAGCAGACGCACTTTATATTTTCAAGTGATAAACTCGACGACAGACGCATTTATGTTCTCATGTTGTTTGATTCAGTGACAGCTGTAAATGATGGGCAGAGTAGGCGTATCTCTCTCCCTTCGTGAAAAATGCCCACTTATCTGCAATGATCATGAGCGACGGTAATTTCGAGTCAGAGCGGTGGAGCTCGCTATGATCGAAGAATTTTATAAATAATCTTACGAACATGTGTCCGGCACTCTTGGAGAACGAGGAGCGATGTTTGGGTGGCATGACTTTCTTCGCACAGAGTCACCCGGTGGAAGTGTGCGGTAGCAACGGTCTGCCACTCACTCCAAATTCTATAACAATTTATGGGAAGTCGCAATTTTTGAAGACCATTTACCATCCGCATCTTTCTCTTTATCTCGATATAATCAGAAGCAAGCATGGTAAGAAGTCTCAGTTCAAATACACAGACACAAGCTTGGATATTTATTTACATACCATATAACTTAATTCCGCACATACTTTTAGAGAGAATAGTGGTCGTTGCGGAGTACAGCGGTGATCCTTTGAATACCAAGCAAGATCTCAGCACAGAAGAGATTGCCAAGATATCCTTTCAGTGTCTCTTAGGATTGCAGCACATGAACGAACTCGATCTGGTGCATAGACACTTGAGTCCAGATAATATTTTGATCAAGACAAACGGCGATGTACAGCTTTACAATTATGGATTGTACTATATGACAGACGGAGGGAAAAATGTGTCTTTCCCAATCGGGTATCTTCAAATATCCCTTTTCTTTGATGACGATTTGAACGAATTTACTTACTTGAAGAAAGCTTACATGAAATATTTTCTTATCAGTTCTCCAAAGTATACGGCGCCAGAAGTATTTTTGAATCCTAGTTCAAGTGGCGTTAAGGTAGATTCCTGGTCTCTGGGAATGATCGTAGCAGAGCAGTTGTTAGGACAGCCTATTTGGCCTGGTGTCAAATTGTCCCAATGCTTGAGGAAAGTTCTGAGCTTAATATTGTGCGACACCAGCATATTCGAACGTCTTGCCAGAGAAAATAATTGTTTCCAAGCTTACGAAGTATGGATTTGTATCTACATATTATCTGTTTGCGTCGCAATGTTACATACCTCATTTTGTATCATGCAGAAGCTATCAAAGGATCTGAGGGAATTCGTCGATTCCTGCCTGCAAATACATCCTACGAAGCGTAAAACTCCCGAAGAACTGTTAGAACTGTCGATATTCGCGGAGCATTTAACGAGAAACGCCCAGGAGAGGGAAGAAAATCTTTACAAAAATATAATAGTTAGGAAAATGGACGAGCTGTATTACCTGTGGCAATTGGCCGGCGGGGACATTACTGTAGATCTGAAGAAACAGGGTCTCATCAGATCGAGGCCGCCTATTTTATCCATTCCCAAGTAATTCCGCAAACGTCTCTCTGTGAATGTAATGTGATAGGGACAAATTATATTCAATGTGATTACATCGGTTGTTCGAAATTCTCCTTGTATTTCAGCTTAGTCATACTGCTGGGCCAAATGTTCGGCCAGAGAGATACCGCTAGTCTACTCGACGTAAGGGTCGTGAAGGTTCCTATAGAGACCCTTCGCCAACGTCTGGCTCACATTCCGTACATAGCAAATTATCCTTGGTTGACGGACCAGTGAGTGAATTTATCCTCTTTGTTTTGTATCGCTTATTTCGATATTGTAGAACAATTGCACAGATACCATTCATATGTGTACGCCGATGCAGGCTTTTCTTTTATAATATAATACTGCGTTGCAGAATGCGAGTTCAGGCGCAGGAAGACCTGACGAACGCCGCGTCCCAGTTGCCGTTGATTATACGGGAGCGCGACACCGAGTATCAGTTTTACCGGTTGGTCCTGTACGACCGGCTCTTACAAGTGTATCCGCTCACTCAGGATGCGATTATCGAGGAGGCGCACAAGGACATACCGCCGCCGGTGCGGGGCGCCGTGTGGGCTGCTTTGCTCGGTATCACCGGCGACCTGCAGAAGCGTTACGACATGATCGACAAGGAAACGCCCACACACACCGACCGACAGGTATGACCGGTGTGCGCAATACATTCGACACGTAAATGCATCTCGCCAATGATTTGTCAGATAGAGGTGGATATACCGAGGTGTCATCAATACAGCGAGCTGCTGTCGTCCGGCGCCGGACACGAGCGACTGCAACGATTACTCAAGGCTTGGGTCAGGAACAATCCGCACTATGTGTACTGGCAGGGACTCGATTCGCTGACCGCGCCCTTCCTTTACCTGAATTTTAACAACGAAGGTGAGTCGGCTGGTTGAAACGCGCGTTTGCATCTCGTGACTCGTCGCGTGTATCATTGCAGCTCGCGCGTTCGGGTGTCTCTCTGCTTTCATACCGAAGTATCTGCACAAGTTCTTCTTGAAAGACAACTCGGCGGTGATACAGGAATATCTGGGGAAGTTCTCTCAGATCATAGCGTTCCACGATCCCCAATTGGCGAATCATCTGAAGTCCATTAATTTTGTACCGGAACTGTTCGCTATACCGTGGTTCTTGACGATGTTTTCACGTGAGTTTGTCACCGTAGACATATAACTTCAGCATACGTCGCGTTTATCGCGCCGCTGGAAAGAGCTATTCGTGTTTTAGACGTGTTTCCACTGCACAAGATATTGCATCTGTGGGATAAGTTATTGTTGGGAGACTCGTCGTTTCCTCTCTTGGTCGGACTGGCGATACTGAAGCAGCTGCGAGACTCGCTGCTGATGTCTGGTTTCAACGAGTGCATCCTCTTGTTCTCCGATCTGCCCGAGATCGACATAGAGCTGTGCGTTAAAGACTCCATGACGATGTATCAGAACACACCGGCTAGCATCACGTACAGAAAGCATCAGTATAACACGACAAAGGTATGAACTTCATTCCGGCACATCTGACGCACTTTTGAAATATCGATCTATTCGCAGGATGCAAATTGGACCGAGCCCGAGGTGGGGACCGAGAAAATGCCACGGATAAGCGTCGACGATTTCCTAAATCTCCACAACAACTCGCCGAGCAAGGTGATAGTGGTCGACGTACGCAGTAATATACAGTAAGTACTCGCGTAAAATTTATACCGAAATAAATACGTATCCTTAATAAATTATCTGTAATTCATATATTATTGATGAATTAGATGTAATTTATAAATTATACTTATAAATTAATAATGTAAATATATAAATTTAATTTACAAATTTATGTATAAATTTTATATAATAAATTGTATTTAATTTATACGCCAATATAAAGACTTGTTCCCAAATTGACGAGATCTCTGTCCTTCGACAGGTTCGAAAGAGGTGCTATTCTTAACAGTATTAATATCCCGTTTACGAGTGTGCAACTTTCTCAGACTCACATCGACACGCTCGGACCGCATGCGAAGCCACTGACGGACAACAAGAGCAGCGTTGTCGTGATTATCGGACCGCACGATCAAAATAACGCGCTGGTACGTACATAGCAGGTAGATCGAGAATGGTGAAAGAGAGATCTGTTCTAACGAGTTCATCCGACAGTTTGCAGATTTCCTGGTAAAATGCGGTGTCGTGGGAGTCTGCTCTCTGCAAGGCGGCATTAACGCGTTACGTTCCAAAGCTCCGAATATCATAGTACCTGCGCGTTAGTTGAGAGAGTCACGAATCTAAGAATGACGTTACTGTACATAATGCTCTCAGACTTACTCCGTCGTTGATAAAGTCCAATCGATATTACGTGTGACACCTGTAAAACTTGTACAACAGGCTGTAAAATTTTGCGATAAAATAATTCATGAGCGAATGAGCGTGGCTTAATTATTCCTCGGGGACATGTCCGCCGAGAATGCGTGCTATATATGTCCTTACAGCGTGCGCCGTAAGGTATCCCTCGCCGTTGCTATGGTAACAAATGTCAAAACTATGAAGGCTCCACCACGTGCGTCGTTCACATCGTAGCACTGTGCTCAGTTACCTTCTTCGAATTTATTAGCTCAATAATTAAGAATTCATAATTATGGATAAAGGTGTACCGTCGGATTTGCAAAAGTGGTTGAGGAAGTGTCTGAGAAAGGAGTTCGGGAGTATCATACAGAGCGACATAGACAAGGAGCAAAGCAGCGGCGAGATCGCTCACAGGCTTACGCAGTCCAGGGACATGGCGAGTCTGTTGAATTCCATGAAGATGGTGATCACCGAGCAGTACGTGACGGTCAAGCCGTCGTCCGCGGCGTCGCGTACGCAGTCGTCGCTCTCGTTCACGAGTGATCTCATGACGGACGACTGGGCCACCTCTCCGCAGGGAGAGGAGGGGGAGCAACACAGTTACATCATCGAAAAGATCAGTCGCGACAAGCCGGTCCACGTGAGACTGGCTGGCTACGAAATCCTGTTGAAGATCGACTTGTCGAACGTGAACAACAGTCCTCACTGGGACGTTCTGCAGAAGGCGTTGCTGGACGGCCTCACGGATGACAGCAGGGCCATATTCGAGGCCAGCATGCAGGTGCACGCGAAGCTGCTGAGCAGCGTGCAGATGCACAGTATCTACGGCAATTTGCTGAATGCGTTCAACGCGCAGTATCACTCGCAGAAGGTGCGCGAGACCCTGCCGACTCTGATCTCCGGGATCAACTTCAAGTTCTTCCTGCACGAGAAACTGTTCTGCATAATGCATTTGATAATCCGCTACCAGGAAGAGTTGTTGAAGAGTGTCCGACATATCGACAAGACTACAGAGGATATCGTGGAGCAATTTGTAATCTTCCTCAGTACGCATAGCTTCGGCAACACGCTGCAACCAAAGACCTTGAACATGCTCAATGTCATCTCGGTAGTGGAGCCGCAAGCTAAGTGGAGCAAAAGGTGGCTGCACGGTCTGTCCATCAGGAGGACGTTCGTCGCCGCTTTGGCCAGGTCGCCGACGTTCTTACAAAACGTCGTGGAGTGCGTCCAGAACGGTCTGCGGGAGACACCCTGTTCCTTGTCCGCCGCCATCGTGGATGAGGGCAACGATCTGTGCATCCCCGGCAACACGATAGAGACCGTCACTTATCTGCACTGCTTGGTCTTCGTGTCGCAGCTCTGCAGCTACGAGACGGGCAGAGCGTTGCTGACGGACGGCTCGCTGAAGGCGCCGTTCGAGATCGCGAACTTCTTCACCGAGCTGTCCCGCTCTCTGAACAAGCTGGCGACGGAGGCGCCGAGCGGGGTGTACGACACTTGCCGCCACGCTCTGCGAAGCGTGCTGAACGTGTCGGAGGTGTTGTACAACGCAGAATTTTATCACGCCACGTTGTGCCACTTGACGTCTCTCCCAGGGAACGACGTCAAGATCTGGCCGCACACGTTGGACGTGATCTCCCACATGCTGGACACCGCGGACGGTCCGGAGTTTTTGACTACAGACTGCAAGCAACACTCGAGCGCGAGTTCCGAAGGCGCGCCGTCGAAATGCCCGGTCGCAATTTTCGTGCTGTACGCGTCGAATTTGCTGAAGCAGCCGTTCTCTATAATGGACATGGAATGTATCCTCGGTTCATTCGGGCTGATGGAGAAGCTGTTCGACGTGTACGACGTCTACGAGGCCGCGCAGGTGCAGATAGAGACGCAGTTCTATCCGGCCGTCGCCAACTTCTATAAGAAGATGAACAAGTACGGCGTCGAGAATGAGAATAAAATTCAGCAGCTCGACAGGTAATACGAGACCACGGATGGATTTGATTCTTGACTTACATAATGACTTCTAATTATTTAATCCGACAAAAAAATTTTCATGTATAATCATTATATGATCGTATAAAATCATATAGAAATATATAAAATTATGTATAATTATATAATTATATTTATATAATCTTATATTTCTATATGATTTTTTACATGATTATATATATTATTATATATGAAATTTTTTTTTATCGGGAAGGGAGGATATAACATCAATTAAAGTTAATGTAAAATGAAATCGTATAAAATCAAATAATACTAAATAACATTTAGTAGAAAAGAGACATCTAATTATCTAATGTAAAGTCAGCTGAAATAATATAAAACAATATAAAAAATAATACGCAAACAGAAATATCTAATTGTCAAAATCGCGCGTTTCAGCGCCGTCAAGAAAGTTCTGCTGAAGATGGTATCGATACCGCTCGGCCTGCAAGCGCTCGTCAACGAGAAACTCGTGTTTGAGGAATTGATTCGCGGACTAATCGTCCCGTTGAGAGCATCCTGGAGCTCCACCGACATAGTCAGTTTCATCTCATCAGCCGGTTACTTCGATCTGGGCTACAAGGTGCTCGCGGATCTCGCACCTCACGTCCTGTCGACTCTGGTGTCGCAAATCTGTGCGAACGTGGAGGATCCCGCGCACTTCTACGATCCTTGGGATAGAGAGAACATCAAGGAGTTCCTGCACATACTCACGTTGTTCTCCCTGAACTTCAATTGTAAATAACACCAGCAACCGTTGCGCTATGTCTCATTCTGATTTATCTTGTCCGAGTAAATGATTCATATCGGAGCAGGTTTCGCGGCGTTTATGGTGAATGACGAGTCAGATAACGAGGAGAAGGATTACCCTTCGAACTTGTCGGAATTACTGCAGACCGCGGTGAACGAGGACTCGAGCTACCATCATTTGGGTCTCTTGTCCTTGAACGCGGTCATCTGGAACCTGGATGCCTATGTCCACTTAGTGAACTCGCTGAACTTTGAGGTAATACGACAAACACACTGCTGGAGACAAATGTAATGAAAAGGATAATTAAAAATCAGATAAAAAGAGAACGTATGATTATAATTACACACAATAATAGATGTACGATTTGTAGGACGCGCTATTAAATATTCAGAAGGAGAGCACGATCATGATTGAAGTACGCGAGGAACAAGCTGACAACGAAATGGATTACGAGCGGTCTATGATAGACGACGACGACGGTAACGAGAATTATGAGCCAGAACTGACGAAAGAATACGTGATCGACGATTCTAGTTTGCTGCGGTACGATATATTATTAAAATCCTACTACGTGGCTCACAAGAGGAAGCAGTACGCGATGCCGTTGGAAGAGTATCAGCTCTTTTCGGAATACCCACCGCCCAGGATATACGCGGACACGATGAATTATTCCGACGAGGAATATGATTCGGAGTTAAACGACATGTTGCAGGAAAAGAGGCCTGGATTGTTGGACATCGGTTGGGTGTCGCAGGTTCGAGCGGCTCATAAAGCGTCGCGATACCCGATGAAGGTGATTCCCTGAATTAGAGCTCAGATAAAAAAAGTGAAAGAAATAAGAAATAAAGAATTGAATAGAGATAAGTAAGAACAAGGAGTTCAATGTCGACATAACGGATAATCTGGAATTGATCCATAATAAAGGAATAGAAAACTAGGATTAGGAACATAGTCGGCATACTGTTCATTGTAACTTGAGGATTGCTTATAGGGCTTAGTAGTTGACTGAAAATTAGACAAAATATCTAATGATCATTAATATACAAATGAAAGTCAGTTTGAATCAATCAATAATTATCAAGAAAATGATGAGCATTAAGGCTCCTGAATAGTCGCTGCGACTATCCTTATTTGATGACGTCAGAAATTCATCAGAAAATAGTAAAAGTGATGATCTCGTTTTACAATATCTCTTACATCTTATTTTCCATTTCTTTTATTGTGTTTTAAATTCTAGACTATTTTAAACTATAATTTATTCCCGGTATCTTATTATTAATTCTCTATATTGAATTTCTCGTTCCTTATTCCTGTCATTGTGTCTGAGCACTTGGCGCGCAATCTGATCGAATCGATGAATCAAATTTACACACAGGGAAATTTACTTTAGAATTCCGTTATAACGAATTTACTGAGCCAAATGCACAAAGCCATTCCGACCGCGGAGTGGGTGGAACAATTCGTGTGGCAAGAGAATATAACGTACGACGCGGACTATTGGGTCGCAGAAGACGCGCACGCGATCAACGTCGCTCTGAGTTACGCGGAGCAACAGCGGATCCTGAAGAACGACGACGATACCAAGCAGAACTTGAGGCAGTTCATTCATTCCGCCTACATGTTCATACAGTACAACAAGCCGAGCAAATTCGAGGGCTTCGACTGGTTCTTGGCGACAGTGTTCATTATCTGCGACGGAGATCTAGATAAGTACGTTACTCCAGATGACTCGAATCAATTCACTTGCCACCAGAGAAAGAGAATCGGGGGAGGTGAATTTAAGCCTCAGCTGACCGCGAATCAATCGCTCGACGGCGTCCTTGTTTCAGTCAACATTACCGCTTCGCGATCGAAAGACGGTAATAATCGCCACATAATCACGAAGACGTAAAATCGATCGAACAAGCTTGTCTCCCTCGATATCGATTGACTCGAGCTAATCATGTATCATCATCGGCACATCGGGTCTCAGGTTGAAAACTTGTCTTTCATTTAGTCATTACACACATATACACACACAGTATAACGACCCTCAGTCGCTTGCTCTCATCATTGACCTCTTTCATACCGGGTGATACACGATCATCAGCGATAACTGATTACAGGTGCAAGACCTTCATCATGCAATTGATTCAATTCCCATCGACTCTGCTTCTCTGGCCGAAGTTGGGCCATGTTATGGACGAGAGGAATAACGAGAACACCAGCTCGCAATTCACCTTCATGCAAGTTTTAGAGGCCATGGTTAATATCGAGCTCCCGAATATCAAATACGCGCTGAAGGTGACTAGATTTATATCGTGCGGAGAATATTTGATGCCTGAACGATGAAATCTAACGTTCTCTCCGATTTAAACGCGACAAGGATGTATGCGGTATCAACTGGTGGATGATATTCAATAGAATGATATCGCAATGCTTCTGGGGAATTCTTCCGTGGAGCGAGATAGTTCATTTCGTCGCGATCTGCATCCTGTACCCGCCCGATTACATGGTATACCACTGCGTGTCGCTTTTGGTATTCTGTCAGGAGCTTCTGCTGGAGGATTTAACGAGCGGGAGAATGTGGCCGGAAAATATGGTATGTATCTTGAACACGGTGGAATTATTTATGACATGTACCGTCGGTTAATTCGCCAAATGTATTTTCACACAGGTGTTAGACGAGTACCGTTGTCACAATTACATTACCTACATGGATAATTTAGGTCAGCGATACAGAAACCGAGTTTTACCGGCAATGACGAAAAACATTAATTCAGAAGATGAGATATAAAACATCAATTATCTCGATTTATATTTGAAATACGGGGAAGTGTTGACGAAAAAGTGCGTTACCGTCCGTGTAGATAAAAATAATGTAAACTTCGACATGTAAAATATTTTATAGATCCTTTTACACCAAAGTGTGTATGTGTGCGTGCATGAGTGCACAATTATGTGTACAATTAAACGTTAGCAAAACAATTGTATTTCTATAACAAGTAGTAATTGACCGTTACGTAATAATTAATAAAATGGTTCTCCCTTTATTTCCTATAAATGCTTTCAGTTAGCACATCAACTATGATGAACGTACATACATTTCGCGTATCCCTATGAGAACGTTTCGTGTACAGACTGTATTTAGAAATCAGCGTGTACAACACGGAGTAGCGCTGCTAACGTCATATACAATTCGCATACCTGCAGAGTGCGGCGATATTCGTCTGTGAGTTTTCCATCGATAACAATACCCCGAACAAGGAAGCCGAAACTTTTTTACATAAAGTACAGTAACCTCGTAGTATTGTCATTCATTTTCTTATTTGCCGATCAAACAAATTAATCATCGTGAATAGTAAATACCTTCGCTACTTCGTTCAGATCGTCATATTTTGTACCTTTCGCGAGAACCTAAAGTATGGAATTGGTAAATTCGTAAATTTTTAGGAAATATCATATTGAACTATGATTGAATATGACAAGAATTAAAGAGAGAGAGAAGTTGATTAATACCTCAGTAATATCTATAATCATCTTACCTGTTTGGCAATTCGGATTCGGTTGAAGATATTCCACAGCACTATTCCTACTACAATGTCGTCTTTGAGATAAAAAATAACGCCTTTGTTAAAATCCTTCTTGGATTCTTCTTCTGATTTCGTGTTATGTTCAGACGTTTCTTTCTTTTCTGAATTCGTATAATCAATGTTCTTTACGATTTGCGACGCTTCTTCTGATTTTATGTCAGATTGTTTCTCTTCGGGATTTGACTTGTGTTTCTTGGAGGAGAAGAACGTAAAAGAAAAATGGTTTCAATTAGATATACTTTGTATCGAGAGGTGTTTACTTACTTCGTTAGGATTAGCAGTCGACTCCGCGTTTCCTTCCTTCGCGCTTGCTTTCGCGAAGACTGCAACAGTTGGTAAGGACGAGTCTACGATACCTACTGCTTCATATCCCACATCAGGTCCCAAGTCAGACCAGAACATCGCTTGGTGCAAATACGGTTTACCTGCGAACCAAGTTCGCGTATCCTTTTGCTCGCTCCTCGTAATTATCAATATTCCGGAGAGATATCAATGAATTTATTAAGTTACCTGCACCGGTCATATTTTCCCCAGCTAATCTTCCAGAGATAACGGCATGATCATGATGTTGGACCCTTCTTCTACCAAGAACAATGTCGTAGAAGCACGCTGCATCACCAGCAACCCAAATATTGCTTCTCGCCTCTAACTCGGCGTTAACAAGGAATCCTCCTATCTGAGGATCCGTCTCCAACCGAGAAGTTTTCGCCAGATCCGTATTTGGTTCAGCACCTACCGCTACTATCACTCGATCAACGTTCATCTTATCAATAAAACGAAATGAAGCTCGATTAGTTCACGAAAATGTCAACGAAACCTCTCAATGTCAATGCTAACATACAGTTTCACCACCAGTGAGAACGAGAGACAGTTGACTGTCTTTGTATCTAAAATCCTCGACCTCTTTACTGGGTACAACTTTAACACCTTCAGCCTTGGCCTTATTCGTGGTCCACTCGCTCAAGTATTCTGGCAACACTTGATCCATTATAAATTTCTCTCTGAAGATTTGGTAAACGTTTTTAGATTTATCTGAAAAGGGGAGATTTTACATATTACTAATATTCTTTCAAGTATCAAAGATTATTCCGTTAAAAAATAAATAAATAAAACGTACAATTCCTAGCGAGCACACAGGCTAGTTCCGAGCCCAGAAATCCGCCACCGATGACCGCGATATTTTTGCATTTGGAATCGGCCACACTTTCTTCCAGATCGAGAAAATCTTCCTTTGTCCTGTATGTTGTGATCTTGTCTTTCACATTGTCCTCGGCGGATTCAAACACAGAGAGATTTTTCGGAGTTGAACCTGCGAATACAATCGCATGTGAGAAAGACCCAATTCTAAATTTACTCTGCAATCTTACTTCGATACATTCGATGGAACTTACCAGTTGCTATGAGACACTTGTCATATTTTATCTCATACCCGTCCTCGAGAATCGCCTTTTTGTTTAAAACATCGAGTTTTGTCACTTTCCAGCCTGTGGCTACAGCAACTCCGCCTTTTTCGGATTTTATAAGATCATCGATGTTTAAATAGAATTCACCTGGCTCATAGAATATGCTGCGACATAAATATAACGGGAAACTTCATACACATGTAAAACCATCATCATTGTACTAATAATATTGAATGCAATTAACACGATTTCCGATGATATAATTATTTAGCAACTCGTCAGAGAAAAAAATTGTATCACCAATGAGTCACCTATTCAGCATATGTTAAATCAATTGACTTCACCTCCTCTGAGTTCCATTCCACTGCTTAAAACGTAATTGCTGTGATGATTCTCTGTCTGTATTGTACCAAAGTTCTTTGGATAATGGTGGTCTCATGTACGGAAACTCTTCTTCCTCCGTTATTACTAAAACCTAGAAAGAAATATTTACTTGCTGTGTTTTTTCATAAACAAATTAAGTTACAATGTATTGACATATACTGTTGACACACCGTAGCTTTGGGATCCCTAGATTTAATTGACCTAAATGCTGAAAATGCAGCCGTTCCACCACCTATCAATAGATAAGGTATTTCTGGAGGTAATGACTGTGATTCTGTTGGAATTTTCGTTTTCTGCCTAAACCTTCTAAGCTTCCTCTTGTCTTTCTTTTCAGAAACTACAAAAATGATACACACAAATAGTATATTTGATTGAATTTCATTATCCTATCCAAATTCCTATTCAATTCTTGATTTAATCTTGTCTATTTATAGGCTAGGTTTCAACTCACCTGTCCCATCACCTTTCGACACAGTTAAAAATAGCTATTGAACATTTAAATATCAATTAGAAATATAAAGAATAAATTAATTAGTATTGTTAATTCGATATAGGATTACCAATACACTACCGTATATCCAGCGATTCCTGTTACAACCAAGGCAGTGAGCAAGTGCCAATATTGAAATTGATATTTCTTGCCACCTTTATCACCCGATTGCTTTTGCTCTTTATCAAATGGTGGCGGACAGGATCCATTAGGCAACGCACAGGCAGGAATCCCTTGTTCTGTCTTGCAATATTTAGGCACACATTCTTCTGGTTTGATAGTGGTGCCTGGCGTCTTCTTATTGCTCGCATCGCTACTGTAGTGTAAATTACTAATATTTACAGTCCCTGTAAACATTTTTAGTAAGTTATCAAAGGAACATTAATCAAGAAGGCGTTACCAAGAGAAATTCTTTGCTGACCAAAAGGCTATTACCAATGGCAATGCAGCAAAAGAGGAGAAAAATTAAAGTAACGTACGATATATGTAGCAATTATCATTCGTCAATCATAAAAAAAAAACTAGCACAGAAGGAAAAAAAGGTACGAAAAAATGAATTATCCCAAAGTGTGATAGTTTTCTTTTCTTTCTCTCTCTCTCTTCCTCTCGCGTTACATCATACGCCGCCTACTTCAGAGCAAACAGGCCGCGTGGAAGGTTGTAAACATAGTTCCGACTGCCCGGAAGCTGCGATTATCGCGGTCGTACGAACGTACCGCAGACGGTACTAAATCCATGATACGAGAGACACGAGCTGAACACTCTCTTTCAATCCGGAGAAAAACCAGCGGTAAAATAGGCGGGAAACGGGACGGGTTCCGCCGGGAAGCCTCGTGACCATTGCGGATCCCGAGACGCGGAGTAGGTCTCGCGGAGTAGCGAGAATACGTACGTCGATACGTACCCGCGTAATTAACGGGCTGATACAGGCGAGTCGCGTGCGTCAGCCTCGACGATAATCGGCCGATGACTCTGCCGCAGACGATCATCTTCGCCACGGGTCCACGTCGTCCGTCCGCTTCACTCAATATGGTGGCGCGGCGCGCCTCCCCTCAGCTGCTGCCGTTGCTCGCGTATACCTGTTGGCTGCTGCTCTCGGCCCCGACCGGAAGAACGAACTCGACGGTGCACGGCGTGGGACACTCCATCACCCGAAACACCTATTCTTCCACACTGTCCGTTCGTCCGTCCGTGTCTGTTTTTCTCCTTCGCCTGCTTCCTATCGCGCGCGCATCGGGTCGACTTTTCCCGTTTAGCTCGCCACCAAACCACTGAGGATTTCTCACGTGATGTGACGACGACAACACTGCTGGATAAAGGGATAAAACACGTAAATTTCCCAAGAGCCCTTTATACCTCGCTGAGTTTGCCGTCCATCCGGGTATATACGCACGTATCTAACCACACGGAGCACAACGCGCCGAAACTGTACGGGACGAATCGGCCGAGTGCAGCTAACTTCAGGCGCGATCGATCCGCCGGTCAGTCGACAAGAGCGCTGTAAGAATCAATGAGATACAATACGAGAGGAATTTCGCTTTCATTGAAGTTACAATTGGTAGAATCTCGGAGATCTGACACAGGGGTCTGGTGAATTTTTCTCATTTTTCTTACATAATCCGTTATCGACGTGACGCCACCATGCGGCGGTGTAACTTATCCATGGTAACGGGAGAAAGTTCCGCCCGGCGTCGCAGATGGCGCACGTTGTACCATTTTCCCGCGTTCGGCTTGTCGGCAGCGTCATCTAGTCGATTGACTCTTTTCGCTTTGGGACGCGTACGAAAATGGCGCCATTGACCTTCTTGCGGAGCAACGTCCTGCAAATTCTTTCGGAAATTTGTCCCTTATATTCGGCGAGTGGCGTATGAATTACTTGGGCAGGTAAGCAGACCGATCTGGCATACGTGAGATATATAACGCAACGATATCAAGCGAAGTAAGGTCTAAAGATTGTGTCAATCGGCAGGCTCGCTGTGATGTGTCGAGCGAACCGTTGAAAAATGGACGGTAATAGGATTCCCTGTTAGATACATGGCAATTATGGCGGATCAAACACTCATAGGGTAAGAATTTAATTCGTAGACATTATATATACAGTATATGCATATGCATATNCCCCCCCCCCCCCCCCCCCCAATCTACCGCTGCAACTAAACTATATACGAAATGTTATCGTCGAATTAATGGGCAATCAGTATCGTAACGAATACGATACCGTTTTAAGCTTCGATAATACATTTCTGCATCGATGTCACATGATTAGGTTAGATTTTATCGGCCAGCTTGTTTTTTGAATTATGTGGCTTCCGATCATTGTCGGACCGACGAATAAACGGTAAATTTGACGATTCTTCAACTACTCGACGATAACACGACGGTATTTGTAAAAGGATGTTTTCCAAGCGTAATATATGTATATTTAACGACGAAATATTTCTTGTTAGCATCATGAAACGCGATTCCATGTTTATCATCATCGGAACGACATCTGCGCGAGCTATCCGCGCGATATCGATGTTTAATGTTTGATTGTACATAATCCCGAGCGGGAAAACACTTTAGAAGGAAAGAGCAAATATTTCTATTAACGTTGATTCCTCGTGATTATTGTGAGAGCGCATATATCTCTCACGGTTTCGATTATCGTCCGATCGATCGAGTTTCATTCGGTCGAGTATTCCTTCGATTTCCGAGCTCGGTATTTATGGCATCGATATTTAACAGCCGACATTTAATTTTTTTATGATATACGTGGATGGATGAATGCAAATATTACGACGTTAACAAGATAAGACGCAACAGCGAGAATTCCTGGGCGATGGGTTATGTACATATAAATCTCGTATTATAATACAGTGGCGCAAATATAATTGCCATAACTCTCTCTCTCTCTCTCTTTCTCTCTCACTTTTTCTTTTTCTCGGGCATTCTCACCTGAGTAATCCCGTGTAATTTTACTCCTCTCTCTTCTTTGATTTAAATAAACTGCGAATAACGTCAGAAAGTTAAATGTCGGACGTACAAGCACTATTATATTTCTAATAACATTACGTGTGCAAATATGTATACGCGGATAATACATGATCTTTTGTTTGTGAAAGGTGGAAAACATACTCTTGTGCTAACTCGTGCACGAAATTATGATATTCATTATCGTTGAGCCACGCCCCACCACAATTACACGGGCGATGCGATAATCGATTTGATTAATATATAAAACACGGCGAAAACTATTCGGCGATAGTATATTCTCGAAACCTAACAGACGCTCTATCGTTCACGCTGCGTGTTAGAATGAAGATCTGCGTGTCCGTCCTCTTGGCTCTGGCCGCGGTCGCCATCGCCTTGCCCGTTGAAAGTACAACCAAATAGCGCAAAATGTCCTGAGACCATCTTGAACGTGTTTAAGACGTCCTGAGACACTTTCCGGACATTTTAGACACGTTCAGGAATAATTCTAGAATGTCTTATATTTTTGGAACGGTAATTCGAACATTGACCGCTAGGACCTAAGATACCCTCAAAATAATTATTTTTTGTCCGCAACCTTGCTTTAAGATATAAATATATATAAATAAGCAAATTGACCAATCACTGTCGTTTATTAAAAGAGTAATCGGTCATGGTTGGTCAATTTGCTTACGTCTTAAAGCAAGATTGTGAACAAGGAGTGAGCCATTTCTTTGAGTATATCTTAGGTCCATATTCGTGGATTAGCTTCGCAATCTGTCGTCGACAACTATGTAGTAGCTCAACGAAAGCTCAACTCCGTAATAAGCCGAATAAAATACGTTTTCGTTGAACATTGCGCGACGATACGAACGGGGGATGCATTATAGAGTCGAGGAGGTTTCCAGTCAAAACGATCCTATTTTTCGTCGGCTATCCCATTACGGGCGTTCGGGTAGTATCCGAAACAACTGGAAAGTTTCCGACACTTCACCGGACAACTGGGCAAAATCAATTCCGATCGAAAGTGGAATATTTTCCACGACTCGCGGTATTTTCGCGTCACGATCGAGAGAGATTGTTATAGTCCACTTTATCCGCGCTGTCTGCTCCTTTCGTTAACACTGGCCAACAAATTTCGTACCATAAATTGCATCCTTTTTGGATTTTAATTTTTCCCATTTATGTTTATATGTCGAAACAGAGAATGACAATGAAAAAAGATATTTTACTATAGTTTACGAAATATAGGCTATATTTTAATTTTTGTAAATTAATAGTACGAAGTATGAAAATAAAACAACAGAATGTATTTTTACTATAATTTCTTATTTTTATATTTCATACTGTCAGAAAAAGTAAAATTTCTTTCCAATGTTACATAACGAAAGAATAAAAATAGTCTCTATACTTCTACAGAAAATTAAAGACAAATTTAAAAAAGATGATTTTGAAGACATTTTTTTTCTCCGTACTACGAAAGCCTCAAATATCAAATTTCCTTTTGATTGTTATTTACTATATAATGGAAATTAGAACTAAGTTTTGATTTTAATTGTTATATTTGTGTGATCAACACTACAAAATTAATTAGAATTAACGGTTTAGGTCTAGGAAACAATTTTTATGTCGACTGTAGTGTAATCTCTATTTAACTGTTCGTTTGCAGATGACAACACGCAAGACTTGTCTAAGTTACTATTCGAAAACTACGTTCATCTTTGTGCACGTAGGACCACTTCCGATCTTCTTAGTGCTTTTAAGGTGAACGACTTCGCTTGCGCCGCGCACTGCATGTTACGTGGAAAGTCCGGAGGCAGCTGCAACAGTCGACGTGTCTGTGTGTGTCGCAAATCAGTCGCCGTACAAGTAAATACTTTTTTTCATAATTGCTGGTGCTTCGACGTGATTTACAAGTGATTTACAACTCGAAGAAAACGATCTTCGGTTTCTTTCCGAGTCGATTAGTGTGATGTATTTAAGTTGTTGGAGAATTTTATGCGGTTAATTCAGAAAACTCGCGTGTGTCAACAGCGTGTATATATAGTTCATAAAATATATTTTTTATAATACATATGCATTGTAATAGCCTGTAATGAAGTTTTCTTTCGCGATTTTTAATGAATCATGGAACACATAGTTTCAGAACCAAAGGAAGGGTTAAACTGTCTTTGGAAATATGAAATTCGTATTCGATTAAGATTTTACCAGTGAGTGTAACTCCTATCCTCCTCTCTAATCTATAGATTCGTCTTTAATAAATATTTAGATATCTAAGATGTCTTTAAGAAATATTTAAATATTTAGACACGAAAATCAATATTATATTCGCACGCCTCTTCATATTATTTTTCATTGCGTCTTTCTTTAAAAGCATATATATAATACTATATATATTATATTATCATACGCAAGCGTAGTCGAAGTCGCAATATTTTTATTTTAAATCGCGCTGCGACTTGAATGCGACCTGTGCGAATTTTATGAATAAATGGTGAATCCTCTTTTTCCCTATTTAGAGACACGACAGAGAACGCGCGGAGAACGAGAAGGGAAACACCGAAATAACCGTAGACCTCCAGTATAAATATACCGGTCGATTTTTCCTGCAAACGCGCTCGAGGAAATTCACCGATGCAGTCTCTTTCGTCGACATTTCGTCCCATATCGATCCGCTGGAAGCAAAAATTGCATTATCAAGACGCGCAATCTGGACTGATATGATAAGCTAAACGCGGACAAGATCGTTTCTTATCGCTTACCTGTCGCACACGCAAACACCGATACGATTCGAACCGGTGCAATGACCGCCGGTATGCAACGCGACTTGCCGCGAGTATGCAACGTGACTTGCACGCGGCGTTACTGAACTTGCAAGTGACCCTGCGATATCTTCCGGCATGTCCTTCCGACGGCCTCGGCGAGAACTCGAAGGGTTCGTATCCGTCTTCTAAAATGACTTGTTTATCACTCGTAAACTAATATTAAGATCAGGGACGGTGAGAAACGTTCGTATCGCGTATATGCAGGTGAATGCAATAGGTAATTTATCGTTCACCGTTATATGCTGTTTTACTGTATTGTTACTATGCATGTACAAACCTCCGGCTGGCGCTGCGGTCAAACGACGTGCGAAAAGCGGCGAAAACGCAAAGCGATCATGCTTCACGATCGCTAGACGCTCCGGGACTCGCGCAACCGATTATTTTTCCGTCGCCTGTTCGATCTCTTACATAGCGAGCGCGAATAAGTCCTACGATCGAGATTCGTCTTTCAACTTGATTATCTAAAAGCGATTCGTGAGACAATGAAATTACCGACGCCCGATCGCTGACACGCAGCGAATTCGCGCTGTAATCGTGGAAATCGATACTCGACTTCGTGCGGAGAAACGCGACGGTTTATACGCGTTGACTGGCGTACTACAGCGTCAAAGTGAATTTAATCGACCGAGATCTACCGTGCTACTCAATCTGATCGAAATTACATATGCAGTTACACGAGAAGACATGAATTGATCGTCACGTAATTCAGCCCTCCGAAAAAGAGGACAGTTAAAGCCGCAGTCGATGTTTAAAAGTACCGCACGTGATGCGATTCATCGCGATACGAAAACTGGCGCTTTGTTTTGCGAGGATATGGGAATATATCTGTTTCACTATTCCCTTCTCGCCATAACAACGGTTGCAGCAATGCCAGCGTTCGCCGGTGGTTTGTATTTGTTTTAATAGCTCACAAATATTTTCCTTATCTGCTCACCACTCGATTTATAGCTCACGGCATTTACGCATTCAAAATGTGCTCGCGGGTGACAGCTAGTATAACTATATAGAAATTCTGTACGCGCTGTTAATATTTCTTCCCCCTTTTTCCTCCCGTCACTTTTTTGCAACGCGAGGAGTCCGAAATAAATATCGAACGCGCTATTATCTTTAGAATATTTCTAATATTAATAATAAAACTGCAGATTTAAATTGAGTTGTGATATTTATGTGCACGAAGAAAAATAATTTTGCTGTTGCAACTAAACCATATCGTTGTTACTATGTATTTGTTGGCGATTGCAATGAAATTTAGTTAGCATAACCAGTTCTTCGTGTACGATTTTTCGAGGAGTATTGAAAACTGATAAGCGAAAGTTAATAATTTATGTAATAGTGTGTAGAGAGAGAGAGGAGGAGGGGGAAGAATAATTTATGCATGTATTCGAATTCGAGATACGAAAATAAAAGTACGAGAGTCTAAACAATGTCTGATATTTTAGGAGATCGAGACTGTTTCAATAGTGCCGTTTGATCGTTTTTATACAAGAGCATACTAATAGATAACATAGATGGACGAACCTACAGCATTCGAATCGGGAAGTTATCAGAGACGGGCAAGCAGTCTGCAGTCTCCATTGTCGTACAAAAGGTCGACCGAAAGGCAGGCGTTGTAACACGCTGAGACACACCGAGTGTATCGAAGGTAATAGTTCTTCGATTTTCGATAATTAAAATTTCTCGAGAAAACTGTCGTCGCAGATAAATCGCGAATATATATATATATATATATAATTTTTTTTTTTCAACGCAATTAATTTTTAATATTGACAGAACATTTGAATTAAAAATAAGTACATTATATTTGTAATTTTTACGTTTCTCTGCCCCAACTATTTTTAACGTAACGCTGAAAATGAACACCTTGGTTCTATAAATTCTACGTTGCTCGAAACTAAACTTGGATAACTAATATATTTAAAAGCAAGGCAACGAAATGTCATCATATGTTAGTCTTGATATATTCTAATTTGGATGTTTGCTCTTGAATAATAAAATATTTCAATTCAATATGTCACCTTTAAACGAAATGCATTATAAATTCAGCACTGGAAGCGATGCATGTAACTTCTTCCGAATTCAGCGAATAATGCTCCGACTTGCATATTCGTTTTTAACTATGATGTTCGAATAGAGTAGCGATGCAATTAATAATAACATGGCAAATAAAGCGTTCGGATCGTTTTGAGAAAAATATTGTGTTAAAAATATGCACTGCTTAAACGTGACTACGATATCAGTAAGCATCGTGACGAACGGGAACAAGGGAGAAGAGATAACCAGTATACCACAAATGACACATCGAAATTGCGACTTTTGATGATCCAGCGACGTCGAGCGTGAAATTTTCGTGACAAATATTTGATTTCACGTTGAACGCTGAATTCCATGTCTCTGGTGTTGTCGTATCACGTAACAAATAATAGACAATTTCCAGTTCAATCTGTTCGGCGTGTAACATTGTAACCGTCGCGATCGGAAAATCATATTTTCGACTGTGAGAGACTTGGAATATAATATGATCGAATAGAGATAACTATATTATCTAGTTTACATGTTTAAACAACAGCGCACTTACAAGATTCCTCGACACCGTTGTTACAGAAATGCACGTTGGCAGTTGGGAGAAATATGCAATCTGCTCTTTCACGAATCTGGAATGGGCGACGAACAGCCGAACGGAAAGAAAGGACGAGCGGAAAGCAGCTTAACATAATAATCGTTCGCCCGTACAGTGAGTGCTTGTTTTACGCTATTTCATCTTCTAATGCCTTGTTAATGAGCCTGTGCGTATATTCAAACAATAAGCTTGGTATAAGTTACGACTGGCAGAAATCGTTAGCTGATAGTAAATTTCGCGTTTAACCGAAATTAATCGTCGATTTTAATTAATACGTACCACCGTCGTGTACACCGCATAGATTTCGGCAAGAATCACAACGGGAGGGAGAAGAAAGCGCGGCCAATGGGGAAAGAAAATAGGTGGCGAAAGGACAGGGGGAGACGGTGAAGTTTGATCGAAAGAAAAGTGGGAAAGTGCGACCGGGGAACCAATATGCTTTGTGCTTCGGCGTGCAATTAAACGGCCGAGGGAGTTTACCGGCGATATTTTTCGACCAGCGATTATTAGGATTTTTCTCCCTCGTCCCCTGGGGCGTAACTGGATGATTCTGTGGTCTGGAGGGTCCTCGAGAAACAAATGCGGCGGCGGCCACTGCGTGCGCGCGCGCTCTCCATCTCCCTTTCCACGCGAGCGTTTGCGCTCGCGCGCACGGCTTTCATTAAAAATCGGACTCATCATTCGTATCCTCTCTCTCTCTCTCTCTCTCTCTCTTTCTATCTACTCTCTATCCCCTCTTCCCTCTTCGCGCGTCTTTGTCTCCCTTCGGCACTTCTCGTTTCCGACGGGCCCGCTGTCCACTCGTTGAAAATGATTTCCTGCGTACGAGCGTTCGCCATTCAGTCGCTATTTAGACGGGGAATACCACTTGCACGGCATATGCACTCGTATATCCGTACATTCGATGAAATTTCGTCGCGAAGCGAATCGCGCGTCTAATTTGTCGCTCGAGAATTCTGGGCGAAACGCTCCCGCGAGCTCGTCGTTTGCCACACGAGCATACGAGACTCTTTAATCGCTTTAATAATGATTAAAACGGCAATAAGCTCCATTAAGATTTTTTAATCGCTTCAGTAACCGATTATTATAATTTTTTAACTCGTCAAATTAATTTATATCCTTATCCCGTGGGAATAATTGCGAGCTCAAATAAAGTTAACGATACATCGCGAAATAACAGAGTTGAAAATGCATTGTGTAATGATACATGCAAGAATATAATTTGCAGAACACATTTCGAGCAATATGCAAAATGCACTCGTTCCAAATTATATATCTATTATCATCTATTATACATCGCGCGTACGCGCACGCACATACACACACACATACACGCGTGCGTGAATACGGTTATTTACAATATATGTTTATATTTCAAATAATGTCGAGTACATATCAATCACGTGAGAGCACTAAAATGAGAAAGGAGCGAATCGGGAGATAGAATAAAACCGATTTGCCGATCGACGTTAATTGCAACAGTAATCGTCCGATGTATCCGCATTAATATTCCGTGATGCGTATCATTTTTCACTTCCGCTGCGCGTATTTTTTTATTTCTCGACGGGAAATGCAATATTCTCTCGGGAAAATATTATCTATGCGCGCTATGTACTAAAAATACAGTACGCCAGAAAAATCCTGATAAATTTACCTCGAACTGACTTTAATTTGCGTTCTAGAATTTTTAATTCCGGGGAAACAGACGCGAGTTCCGAATTCGAGAACGCCGCGGCGATCCGGAAAGTCCGGGCCGGTCGCGTCGCGCCCCGATACAAAACAAATCCAGCGAAACGTTTCAATTAAACAAACAAATTAAACTGCTCGCTTCCCGAAAATTTATCGCATTAGGGATCGATATTACACCTACTGACCGTTTGTTTGACCACTTAACTGATAGTGCAGCGGAAATTAATATTACCGTTGTTTCCATCTATGTGCATCGATCTGATAAACAAAATATACATAGTAAGCGCTCGCGATCTCGCATTGCGAGACGCAATAAATATCAGGAATATGAATATGTATGCATGTATGTATATATATATATATGTACGTCCGTACGTACGCACGCACGCACGCACGCACGCACGCACCTACGACTCGTGACGTCGTGAAATACACGACACATATCGGCGAAATAAAACACGGAAAGCGTTTCGCGCACGTTTGATGAAATAACGCCGACATTCGTTGACAATGAAATTATAAATCACAACGGTGTTTACAAATTGAGCTTTATTGCTCGGGAGAAGCCCTCCGACGCGATACGAGCGGGCGATTATTATTTCGCGGTGCGCGCGTAAAACTCGTTACGACACATGGATCATGCCATTTTCATAGAAGCGAGTCTGTGCGGCGGATCGATTTCGAAAGCCGGTTTCGGCTCCTTCGGCTCACCCGCTCGGTAGCGCGTAATATACGTAGCCTGATCGAGAGTGAGGTAGAGCGTCTAAGTAAAACGTGATTGCACCTGTCACTTGGCGAAGACGCGTGGCGGCGCGATTGCGAGAGAGCTCCCGGCGGCCACCTCCAATCGGACAAAAGAGACCCGCGATTCCCCCATCGTCATCATTAACCGCAACCTTCGACGCGCTCGTACTTTCTACATGGCCATCAAATCGACATCGCAATATTTTCGATTACGACGACGGTTAGTAGGCCGTTGGTTGTACGTCCACACTGCGTGATTTAGATTCCCCGGCTTCACGGTGCGTTTATTCGCGCCGTAAAAACGTTCCGATTACATTTCGCTTCCTGTCGAAACACGCTGCAATTTCATTTTCGGGATCGGCGGTCGCGCAATTCCGTAAATATATTTTCGAGAAACACGCAATTGAGGCGAGCTCTCACGCGGGGGCCTCGTTACGTCGATCGATTTTTCGCGCGCGAGACGTTTCCTCTCTCTAAAATAACACGTTCGATCAAAAGGCAGCTTTATATCAGGTCTTCGCGCAGCCACTTACTTCCGCCTCTCTGACCGACTTTTATTTAGTCTGCTTCGCTCCTCAATCACGCGCGGCGACTTTTTTCCTTATTGAAATTATCGATCGTGCGCGCGCGAGCGAACGGGGAGAGCCGTCGCGTCGCGCGGCGGCAGGAGCGACCGTCGTCGTTAACTTCAGAAGCCACGCAATCTTCCTCCGGATGCATTAAGCGTCTCTCTCTCTCTCTCTCTCTCCGCGCTTTCTATCTCACGGTATTACCGGCACTTAGGGAATTCGCATCGCCGATATTTCCGCGATAAAGGCGCACGCGGCGCGGATATTTTATTAACTATAAACGTCGACCGGGCGATTGGGCAACCGCGGACGAATGGTGCGCCGCGAAAGAAGCGGGTAACGCAACGACGACGACCGGCGCGACGGTGG